ACTGTTGCATCATCTCCTCTCTCTCTCTGTCTCCCTGGATGGATGTACGGGCAGCTGGACAAAATCACAGGCTGGTCTCCTTGGCTGGCCCTTATTTTTTTGTGGATGGGCCAGTTCAGGAGCAGCGTGGCTGTGAGTTTGCGTGTTTATGCCTGTGTGTGGCAAAGCGTGAGGAGGGTTATTTACCGTAGATTCATGTGTTTATTTCTCGTGTAAACTTTCAGTAACACAGGTCAAACATTCAGAGGTGAGACTCCAGCATAATTTATTAGCACTGTAAGAGACATGCTGTATTATCTTTTACCAGGAAAAAGGAGCAGTTTTGCTGCAACACATAATTTTCTGTTTTGCTGACAAAGAAAACTCCTGTGCTTTACAGTTTCAGCGTAGCCTCCCATAAAACACCTGAGGAAGCACCTGTTTCCTCTGCTCCACCCTGAGATTTACTGTTTCTGTCTTTTTTTTGACACCAAACAAAACATGCTAAGCTATTCTTCTTGACATTTTTCTGGTCTTTCGCTTCTCTTAGGACAGTGACTCATGTTGGGAAATAAATCTGTTTAAGTACACATTAAGATTCAATAACTTGTAGAATGAACTCAGGCAATACTAACTCTGCAGTGGGATTTTTTTTGACTTTATCAGCCTCACATCTTTGTAGAGAAATTCTGATAAAGTTTTTTTTTTCTACAACTTGCTTTCATCTTAGCAGGATTTGTGATTTTGGACTTTGACTGGGCGTCTTGCCTTCTTAATCCGTTTTGTTGTAAATTTGCTGCTTTCGGACTCAACTTTAGCTGTCAGACGCACGGCATCACATTTGACACTAGAATCGTCAGACACAGAGGATCCATTAAGGCGCCCAGGTTCTGTTCCCGTGAATCAAGCCCAAATCATTACACCTCCACCACTGTGCTCAATAATCGGTGTCGAATTCATATTGCTGATGTGATATAAATGGAATTGGCCTAAACATCACAACACTTTGTTTCGTCAGGAACTTTAACATTAAACATTTTACTTTTATTGTGAGTCACGACTATATCGATACTGAATTGAAACTGAACAGAATTAACATACCAACTGAGGTCTGTCGAGTCTGATGAGTCTTTTTCAAGATTTTCAAAATGATTCCAAATGTTTTTTACTTAGAAACAAACTTTCTCACCTTCTCTGAATGTTGGTCGACGTTAATGTCAAGACCAATAGACTTCACTGAAGGACAACAAATAAAGATTTGCTATAGGCTGAGGTTTATCAAGATGCAAGTTCTTTAGAGATGAAAAAAAGGGGGACTGACTACTTTGTGTTAATCACATAAAATCAGAAATTCTAAAATTTACAGCTGACTTATGAAGTTTTGACTTGCAAATTGCAGTTGTAGCTGATTCCGATTTCTCTTTAAGAAATATCGGAATATATATGAGTACAAACAGAATCCTGTTTTGTGAGAGAGGAGTCCTTGTAAAACAATATCTTAGTTTTAAGTACTTTGAATTGTCTTATTGCTGAAAATATGCTATATTAATAAAATTACCTTAGTATTATTTTATGAAAAATAACAGATACAATTTTAAACAGAATCCTGCATTAATGATTAACACAACCAACACAGCTTGCACAAAAACAACAGCATCTCCTAGGGAACATAGGTCTTTACTTGAACTCTTTTATTTCCACTTAGTTGCCAGCATGTTCCAATCCAACATGATAAACTGAGGTAAAATGCTCTAAAGCATTAAATCTAAAGCTATAATGTCTTTGGCAGATAGCAGGTGCTTCCTGCTATCTGTTGGAAGCGTCCTTCTTCATCAGTCTTTCTCTTTGCAGTCTGGATGGACCACTGACTTGTCTAGACATGTATTTTCCTTCCTTTAAATAGTTTCCAACAGTATCCTCTGACTCTAAGAACCTTACTGATACAGAAAACAGTCTTGTCCCAGCACTTTAACAGGACCAGTATGCATCAGTACACAGCATCAGCACTTCTAAAGTTTACCTCTTAGGGTTCTGGAACCTTTTTCCAGCATGCATTGCGTACCGAGACTTACTCCGGTGTTATTTGAGTTTTTGTTTCCCCATCAATAATGTCTTTCTGCTGCAACTCCGCACCACTCATGTGGCAAAAGAAAAAAAAAAAAAATGCGTGTTCATTGCAATCTCGCTCCTGTTCTGTACATAGGGCGACTACAGAAAGTGCTCCATAAATTGCCTTATGTGATGGGATTGAAAGTCGATAGTGACGGTGTGTAGTTAATTAAAATGGCTCTATTAAACTATGAATTTAGTTCCTTTGGATTTGATTTAGAACTAGCTTTGTTCTCTACAATATTTGTACAATAAAACTACTAATCTATTTAAAAATTTGCATATTTTTCTGTCCCATATTTGCATGATATCAAAACATTGTTTTCCTCCAACAGTAACAAGTTCCACACCACATCGAGAACATGACCTGATAACACTTGACATTTTTCCTTCTCTGGTAGAAAAACTTGATTTTTGAGATTATAAAGCCGAAAAAACAGAAATCTTACAATCGGTTGATTTTTGATTTTTTGTGGTGCAGTTTGTGATTGTAATGGGACAAAATCCCGAAAACGTCAAGTGGTGTGAATGAGTTTGCAAGGTGTTGCATATGTCCTAGAATGGTCAGATTGCAAAGGCTGCTGCCCAGACAATTTCACATTACATTGTGCCACATGCATCATCTGACCTCATCCTCATCCTCTGTCCTAACTGCTCCAGCAGTCGGAAGTGGAAGAAGCAACAGATGGTAGATGAGTGCGCTGCAAAGTGGGATTGGGGGGGGGAGGTGGTGGAACTCCGTTGTCTGGGATTCCAGCAGGATTAAGCAGAGGAAGCCACGACTTTATTTGTGGTGCTTTAGAGGGTAAAGCTGGAGACGGTACCCTGAAGGTGACGTTATCACACACACGAGATCCCTCGCACATGCACGCATGCACTCACAGCACACACACAGTATGAGTCTGCTGAGCTTTTCTAAACACAAGTCTCAATATTGTGCGGCTTACAGCAGTGTATGAGGAGTAGTGGGACAAAGAGCGTCTTGTACTTTTGGGATGGGTTAGTGGGGTGGGGGGAGTAGTTAGGCCTGCTGGGTCCAGTCCTGGGGGCCAAAGATGGGAATTTTCTGTGAGTATATATATGTCTGTGTGCGTGTGTGTGTGTCTGTGAGGAATGCTGCTGTTTGCTGAGTGAAGAGCATGGAGGCAGGAGAGACTGTCTAAACATACGTCTGTTTGCTAAGAATGTGTGTCTGAGAGACGGTAACTGTGAGAGTATGTGTGAGCAATGGGGAAAGTGTGCTGTGAGCAGCAATGGAAAGCGGTTTGGAGGGACTGCGTGTGTGTGTGTGTGAGTGTGCGCTGTGTGCCCTCTCCCTCTGCTATGACCTTCTTCTGAATGAGCACTTTCATATCCAGACCTGCTCCCCACGGTAAGGAAGCAGACGGCACTGAATGAGTCCTGTTTCTGACTACCTGCGACCTACTCACTGCACCCAGCGCTGGCCCACACTGCAGACTATACTCAGGTTGTGTTTGCGTGGGTTTTCACTGCACCGTTACCTGTTTGTGCAGTCGGGAAGGGAAGGGAAAAGAAGAGAGCGTGGACACTGGCGGAAAGGGAGGAGGAAAGAAGACGACCATCAAGGGGGGAATGTGGAAAAGATGAATTATAGGAGGAATGAAGTGAGGGGATGACGGATGTGAGTAATGGCTGAAGTAAAAGAGGGAGATTCACATAGTCGTGGTTAAAAAAAATGGGATTGAACGTAGGATCGAGTAAGAGCAGTAACTGATGTAACTGAGGTGTTGGAGTCATTTGGGAGGAAATGAGTAAAGGACCATGGGAGAAGTTTGTGGCAGTCACTTCATCTAAATAAATTTCTAAAACTTTTCATATCGTTGTTTTTTTTCACAAGAGTTTAGACTCAATAGACCTTTGTATATTTTTTATTTTCTTGGAAAAAATACCTTTTAAATTAGATCAGGTGGTGGAAATCCTTTAACACGTGTCTACTCTGGCAGAAAATATTATCGTGTTTTCATGCTTGTGTGTGAGTGTTTGTAGTTAGCCAGGGCCTCCTCTGCATGTGCACCTCCGCTGGGTGATTTATTCTAAGGCCAGGTCTGCTTCCAGCTGTCCCCGAGGGGTCCCGATGACTTTAACAGCTGCAGACCCCCATCACGGAAAGGCAGAGAAGGAGAGAGACAGGGAGGTTTTTTGGAGAAGGGAAATACGGACAGTGGAAAAGTCAACATCAATTTTTAGTCTGCTAATTCTATTTAGAATATTTGTGCTTTGCTTTCTTGGGAAATATTATTTTAAAGGAAAAATGTGTAACCCTGTTTGTCTCATAAAATATTGCTGCTTACAGATACGCTTATCTTTTAAACTAAAAAAAACAAATAAAATGCTGGATGTGTGGCGGTGGCGACGTCTCGGTGTAAAGATCAATTTTCCTCGGAGAAAAAGAAGCTGCTCAGAATTGACGGAAAGACGGATGGCGTTAAATACAACAGGTCCAAAATGTGTTGGACTTGGTTCACGTTACATAATATGTATGTCTTTAAATGTCCCAAAGTCCAGACCAGGATCCAATCAAGAATTTATTGCAAAACTTGATGAAACAGATGTCCCAAGGTGTCTACCATCCAATTTAAGTGAGCACAAGCTGTTCTGTAAAGAAGATTGGGCAAAAAAATAAAGTTAAACATTCCAAGAGGAGTTAAAACCTTAGCAAAGCACTGTAAAATGGCACAGTGTTGTTGCATTGGTAATATAATTAATAATATCATTGCATTTAGAGGCACTCTTGGAGCAAATGTGGTTTTCTCATTGGTGGTCTGTCCCGCTCTCTGTGTGAAGCCGTGTTTGTGTCCCTGCATGTGTTCTGCAAATTAACAAATGTAAATGTGAATTTGCTTTTGCTTGACACGCCTGGTTAAGTAAATACTTGTTGTTCCCCCTTGCAGGTCCTGCTGAGGTTCCCATGATGTCCCCGAATGGATCAATCCCCCCAATACACGTACCCCCAGGTTACATATCACAGGTAGGCTGGTTATCATGGTTTTCCCCTCACTTGAAAAAAAAATTAGTTACTACCCAGACCTTATTTTTTTGTTGTAAAACTCACATTAAATATATATTGCCACTTATGTGTCAGAATGGGTAACAAGATGTTTGTCCCAAATATCAGATTAACTCTTATGCCTCTTGTGATGTCATCAACCAACAGACACGTAAAGCAGTCTCAGCTGCTTTCCTTTGTCAGTAGGTTTTAACCCCCTCCAGGCAGATGTTGCAGATTTGCAACAACTAAGTGCTACTTAGCCAGTCTTTGCAAGTAATTTGAGCCTGAGAGGATTATTAAAATCTTTGCAGTGTGCAGCATCTCACCTTCATCTCTCATTTCTTAGCGGAAATATAAAACACACATACGCCACATATTAGCTTTAGAAATACCGCTGGCGTGCATCAGAGACCACTCTTTTTCTCTCCATTTGCAACTGTACAGGTTTTCATTTCTCTCCAGAACAGTGTTTCCTAATCTTTGTCCTTGGGGTACATTGTGCTGCATGTTTTAGATGTTTTTCCCTTCTTGACATGTGTTTTAAATTAATGCGTCATTAACAGGCTTCTGCAGAACTTGAGTTAATTCGTTCCTCTAAGTTAGACGTTATGGAGCACATGCACATATTACTATTTCCCGTCCTTCCCTGTAGTTTTCCAGTGTTCCTGTAAGTGTTCAATGGAATATCTTATAAATGGATAATATATTCCACCACAAAATAGGGACCTCCTTTGAGAAGTTTAAAGATAATTGACTGTTTCAGATTTTGTTTTTTCTATACCCTAGCAGACGTAACAGATTTTAGCTGATGCACCAAGTTGTCACGTAATCTTGGTCACTTTTAATGCTAGTGGCACAATTTTATTACAGTTGCTTTACCATGTACCACAATGCCTCACAAAATAAATAAACATTATACAATGCCTGGATATTTATGGTAAACGCAAAATCTGTTATATTGACTTGTTAAGATGGAAGTAAACGTGTGCTTTAGGCTTGCTTCTGTTGATGTCCTCTTATATCAGTGATTTAGACTCTTATTTTGACATAAGAAGGGAAGCAGTTCTTCAGTTTCGCTGATGTTGATAGAGCCGACCTGACACTCTATCAACGTCAGGTCGGCTCTATCAATGCAAACGCTGTAGAGAGCTGCACTGAAGAAGTCTCCATCACTTGTAAATAGAAAAAAAGAAACGGAAGCGTGACGGACAAGACGCAAATTATTTGCAAACAACGTAAGGGCAGAACGTTAGCTATCAAACCACATCATTTTCTCTTGATGCTAAACTAACAGTGACAGTTTTCAATATTTAATCATTTCTACTTTGACATCTGAAGTAATGCCATGGATCAACCCTGAACTGAGGTTTTCTAAAACATAATGTCATCTTTTTGAAAAGCACAAGATGTAGACACATCGAGCTGTTTTTGGATCAGACTACCTTAGAATTAGATGTGCAGATAAATATTAATGTAAATGATCAATCCTATAATGTATTACACTGATTATAGAGTCTTCAAAACCCATTTTACGTTTTTCTGAAAACCCCAGACTATGGAACAAAAAAGGGGTCTAAAATCTTGTCTCGTTCTCAAAACTGCAGATATCGTCTTGTCTCATGAGCTAGGTGTACACTTAAGGCCGAAACATTTTATCTCTGTCAAATTTTGGTTGAATGTAATCTTTCACTTTAACCAACATGCTTTTTTCTGAATGGAAATCAAACATCTTTTAGTGACCCAGCTGCAGTTCTGTCTTGAATCTAATAATCTATGCAGGGATTACAAGATTAGGGCGATCGTAATAAAGCATTACAAACTCACAGACTTGGAGCTCATCATCACCAAAGATTATATTTCAAAAGACACCAGTGGAGACATGCAGGAACCTGGTCTGCAATTATGAGAAAGGTTTGATTGCTGTCATAGCAGTGAAGCTTGTCTGTTGTTTATAATGAAGAGTACAGTTCATACAAAGTAAATAAGAACCAATCGCTTCAAAACTGATATATTTTGATATATATATTTTTCAATTTTTCTTTGAGAAATGTCATTTCCTGCTAGAAATAAAGTGCTCGGTTAAATGAAAATAACTCTAAATCTGCACGATGTATTAATATTTTAGGCATGATTATAATTCATTACCTCTTAGACGACAAGAAGTTCAAAAGTATTTGAATGTTTCTTCATAGCCTTTCTTTGAATAAGACGCCACAGAAAGTGTGGCAGCTCACCAGTTTTCCTTTGGCTTTATGGACGTTAGGGTAATATCCTCACTTTGCTAATGGACTGAAGGAACACTACTTCCTGTTTCTCTTTACTCCATGAGACACATTTGGTTGCTGAGGAGTCTCAAAGGGTCACTGCGCTAAATTAAAGAAGCAATCACTGTCAATGTTTACTTTATGTCCTTGTCTATGTCTGTGTATCAAATTTTTGCACATTTTAATGACCAAGACGCTGGATTATTTCATCAGTGGTAAGAATAAAAGTTGCTTTCCTTTTTTTTAATCACAGTTAATCAGTCTACGATTAAAGTGCAATGCAGCTACTCATTCTTTGTTTATATCAAACCTAGCAAGCCACTCAGAGACTATTATCCACATATGTTTCATAGTCGATGTTGCTGTAGTAGGAAGAAAGCTCCAGAATACAATTTGTGCATTGTGCAGGAAGCTCATAAGCTCTCCTCTGGTTCAGAAAAATTCTTCCCTCAGATTGTTTACTTACAGATTTCTCACTTTTCATGCCATTTGTGAGCCACAAAAACCAAAACAGTCTAAAGCTAAAAAACAACGTGCGCAAAGGAACCTCTCGAAGGCAGATTTTCTTGGGAAATTTCTGCAGAACTCAAAGAATCTGGCAGCCATCATTCAAGAATGAAAAGCATTAGTTAAAGAAAGGTTTCCAAAACTCGTGCTCAAACCACACACAGTAATCAAACACCAGGCATTGCACCTATCTGCTTAGTCGAAGTGTAAAAGCACACAAGCAACCAGGGTACCCTCCTCCCCTCAACACTACAGGAATGTGCTGAATTCAGGATGTGAGGGTCGCTTTGCTTTTTGAGTCACTTGTATCCAGTTGTGTCTGTGTTTTCCATTAAATGATAGAAAAAAAGAAGAAGGGAGAGGGATATGCAAAACAAGTCAGATGGTTCTCACAAGTAGAGTGCTGTGAATGATTTGGTGCTGTGTTTGTGTTGAGATTGCGCTTGTACACCAATGGAAGTCAGGTCATTGGCACACCGCGGGTGTGTGTTTGTGTGTGTATGCGCGGGTGTGTGTTTGTGTGTGTATGCGCGGGTTTGTGTTTGTGTGTGTATGCGCGGGTGTGTGCGTGTGTGTGTGGGTGTGTGTTTGTAGGGAGCCGGCCAAGTGAGAGCGGGAAACTCTGTCACTCTTACATAAACAAGCCTGATAGGCCAGACAGGCCGTCGGTGGGCAGTTTTTTTGTTATTTTTTTGGAGTTGAGTGGAAAAGGGGTTAGCTGAAAAAAAATTAATAATAATATTAATAATAATAATAATAATGAAACCCCCTGTGCTGGTTAGAAAGAGTGAGCAGATGAGACGCGTCAAGATTTTGCCATGCACAAGTCACCGTCAACATGAACTGATTAGGATCATTGCTTGAGGGAGGATGGGAGGCTGTGTGCAGATGAGCCTGTTTGCAGGTGCGTTTGAATTTGCGAGTTCATGCCAATAAAAAGCACATGTTATGTTGGCCACTTCCACATGTACTCACACAGAGACTTTGCCCTGGCTTTCTTGTAAACACTCTTGTTTTTCTGCTCCTCAGTAGAGCAGAGGATGAGAGGTAGACAGGGCCCAACTCTCCTTTTTTTTTTTTAATGGATGCCCTTTTATTCCCTCTCTCGGTCGCATTTTGACAATATGCTGCTGCTCTGTTTGTGAGAAAGCTTTTTTGGGGTACTATTTGGTGTGTGTCTGTCTGTGTGTTGTTGTTAGGGACTTGAGATTGCTTCCCCTCTCTGCAGGGAGTGTGTGTTTGCTCCTTCCTTGGAATGCAAGCCTGTGGAAGACTGAATGGTTGGAATGTGTGTGCCTGTGTTTGTGTGTGGGTGTCCATTCGTTCCAGTTCATGGATGTAAAACTGAATACATGTATGGAATCTGCACTAATTTAAGGAGGATATTGAAGCTCATAGTTAATGAACAGTGTGCATCTGTCAGTTACTTGTATTATTTATTTGACTTCCACATCTAAAAAATATCACCTGGCTTTCTGTTTACTAGTTAATATTGGCCCATTTCAATTATAATGTGTGAAATTGTTTTTTTTTTTCTGTCCATTTTCACAGGTGCTGGAGGACACCACAGGGGTTCGCCGAGTGGTGGTGACCCCCCAGTCTCCAGAGTGCTACCCTCCCTCTTACTCTCCAGCTCTGTCCCCCACGCACCACCTCCCTCCATACCTGGCTCACCCCCACTTCATTCCCAACTCTCACTCTTTCTACCCCCCTGTCAGCCCGGGCGAGCTGCCGCCCCACCAGTACTACCAGCATCACCTTCCCCCAATGTATGGCGATCCAGGTACTCGCTCTCAGACTGGAACGGCACCCACCCCCTGAATTTCAGGGATTTTTGACTCAAATGATGGATTATGCAATCAGTTATCATAAGATATAAATGATCAATTTCACCAAATCTTTAGTGTCTTCTCTCCTTTCAGAGATCATCCCAGTTTATGGGATGTCCAACTACATCAGCAGAGAAGAGACGTACACTAAGCCACAGCCTAAAAAGATAAAAGAACAGAGACTGGAGCGACAGAACCGACTCAATTCCCCTCCTTCTACTCTCTATAAGGGCAGTCTTGGGCCAGCACACAACGGATACAGGTAACCATGCTTCTTCTGTGGGTTTAAAACATGAATACTTAACACATTACAAGATGGGGCGGTTTAGTTTCATTGTCTTGTTTTATTGCTATTGCTATCAAAAGAGTCAGATCATTTTTGTAGAAAAAACTTATAAAGTACTTAGAAGTCACATTCCAAAGTTATCTTTTGGCAAAATAACAGGAATGTCCAAAACCTGAATGTGAAAACTGAAGCTTGGCAGGCAACTTTGAGTTTTATGTCCAGTATGGCTTCCCTACATCAATAGAATAAAAACTATTATTATTATTATTATTATTATTATTATTATTATTGCTGTTTTGATGTTTGCATCTCATTAAACCCGTGTCTCATATATTTCAGTAAAATGTTGTAATTGTGATCATGTTTTTTGGAGTTTCAGTCCATAAAATGAACAGAATTATTGTGTGATTGGTTTGCACTGTCAATAGTACTTTGCATCAAAACATAAAGCAAATTTTACTGTTTTCCCAACTTACCGCAAGAAGACTCTCCACTCATGTATGAAGTATTTCCCAACTCCAAATGTTAATTTCAGAGAAAAATCTAAAGCAGAACTCATTCTTTGGTGTAAAGCAAAGACATGAACACAGTCCACTTACCTTAGCTTTAAGCAGGATTACTTTACCAGATTAGCATTTCAGATTGTAGAATGGATTCAGTGAAGTTTGATCAGGTTGTTGTCTGATGTGTTGGGGTCTTTGTAATTTCTTTAACTCAAAAAACTGAATCATAATTTTTTACTCAATATTTCTAAAACTAAAAAAATTCTGTCCCATTAACATAAATCCAACATATTTGTTGGTTTATTAACTTTATGACTAATTTAATGTGTTGGTGTTAAACTTAGCTAGCACTAACTATTGTTATTTATTAGGAAAAAAAAGTTTCTCTAAAGTTTAACTCTGGTCTGGTCCAGCGATCACTCTAAAGAAAAGACAAACAACACAATAACAAAACAAAGCCATAATTGTCAACATCATTGGTGCACAAGTAGTAAAATATTCTACATAAACAAAACCATTGTGGGGCAAGCCAAATTTAAAAATTGAGTGCTCATTTTACTGTCAGAAATTAGAGCAGATTAGAGTCACAACTAAGCAGTAATAGACATTAAATTACATTTGGTTTTGTTTGTAAGTTGTGAGCAAATTTAATTTGTGATTCAGTCATTCTGGAATTTGGACATTATCCAGAAATCACTTGTGGCTCTCTGATTATAACTTTTCTGTATCGTGAAATGAAGACATTTTCTACCTGAAAAAAATGTTGTTTTTTTCCACCGAAAGAATAAATCTGTCAAGGTTTGTATTAAATTAAAAAACAAACAAACAAAAAGCTTTTTTTAGTGACCTACAGGAATTTTACTTCTTCAGATGGTTAATAATGATCAAATATATATCTGCGTGAAAATTTTATTTTGTTTGTGATGCAGTAACAAATCACACGCCCCATCGCTTGGGTCAGTGGGGTCAGGGGGTGGAGCCAGCAGTCCAGGGGGCAAGAAGCCAGAAAGACGACACCGTTGCAGTCCACGAAACAGTGAGCCAGAGACACACACACAAGGTAGGAGACAAGGCAGAGAGTCAAAGCAGTGAGACAAAGTGGCACACTGATGAAACAAGCTCAAGCATGCCAAATCCTAAAATGACACATCTGTCTAAAGAGATTCTAAAGAACATCACAATAGAGCCTCTTTTTTTTCTAAACTGAAATATAACCGCACGACCAAGTTGCCAAATATCTCTTTCTGGAAGAATTATGAATTTTCTTGTTACATTTTCCTTCTTTACTTGGTTTTCTTACAATCTTACTGCCCCTTTCGCATTCAAGCAAATAAGATGCAGTTTTACTTCTTCAGTCTGCCTGTCTTTTCTTTTCTGTCATAAAGCCCCCCAAAAAACTCAGTGAGATGAAAAATAAAAGCTGAAAAGGTCCGGGGGTTAGGATGGTGATGGAGACTGAGGTGAGAAGGTGGGGATGAAGGGTTGTCTGGGCAACCGCATAGCTGAACCCGTCCCTCAGCGCTATCGTTTTACCGCCGCCACAATACCAGCCTTGTTGGTGGGCGAGAGAGGGGTAGGAGAGATGGAGGGGAAAGGGGGTGTCACATACCTGTAGAGTCCTGCATGGGATGAAGGGAACCTTTGAGCTCCGTGATTCAGACACTGCGGTGCAGCCTTATCACCCGCATACGCATGTGCAAAGAAACTGAGGGACATACCCGCCCTTTTTAAGGCCTTGTTAATAAAAAGAACGGTATGTACCACTTTATGTGCCCCTTAGAGCACATGGGGACATCTGAGGAGGTGATGATAGAACAACTTCAAGAGACAAACATGAATTGACTTTTCATTTCTACTCGTCAAACTCGTTTTAAAAGTTGTTATGCCCATAAAATTTATGGATAGGTCTCCGCAGTGTGAGGTCAGCTCAAGAGGAAAAGTCTCCCAGGGTCAAATGTGGATGTGAGCTCCTTTGACTTTACAGCATGTTAATACTTTTAACATGCCCACTGCAGTTTTCACAAAAAAATATGGCAGAATCATATGCATTCCCTCAAATTATGTGCAGAAAAATGTTATGCTCAGCATTAAATATGAACAGTTGTATTTATCTGTATGGATTTTAGTGAGTCATGAGGGAGCTAGCGGATGCATACGGTGACCTTGGGGACAGCAAAGCAAAAAGTAGAAAAAAGAAGCAGACTTCAGTGACACAAATGGTGATGCTTCTCTTTGTCACAATCTATGTATTGTAATTGACTTTATTTCAAGTTTACTTGCAATTTCTTCCACTATCTCCATGTTTGCCATTGTCTGAAACTTACCTTTGAATTTGGAGGCTAACTCAGACCCGCCCTCTAGTGGCTGTAGTACCAAACAGCCATGCCAGTCTGCTCAAAGCAGGAGCTCAGTGATGCTTGGCAGCTGTTGAATTGGTTGAATTAGATGTTAGAAAAAGATACATTCATAACAGTAAATTACCTGGGTTGCTTTCTTGTGAATGATTCCAAAAGTCATTGCAATTTCTGGGGATAATCAAGGTTACCTGTTATACTTCTTTGTGCAGGCTTTTTGTTCTCCTGAAAGACACTTTAACACACAATTAAAGCTTCTCATGCAGTTTACAGCCCCGTTGTTTAAATAAACATACTTATATTTAAAATATTGCATGTGCAGGAGTTTGGAGATGTACTGATTCAAAACACCAACATTCCTTATAAGAAATATTTTTGACTTAACATAATTAGAGGGATACTTCTTACACAGAGAAGCTGTTATGTAAGAAAGCTAAATTCAATTCTCAGTCAGAAAGTTTCATAGTTTCATGATGCCTGCACTGTGCTTCAACAACTTCAGCATATCTGACAGACAGGAGCATGTCACCATGTCATCAGCTGTCTGGTCTGGTCTATAGGGTTCTCAGTACAGCTCCGGAGATCAGGCTGACTCAGCTTGATGTACGACACAAGCCGTACATTAACACACACGCATACAAACACCTCGTGACTCGGTTTCCTGTAAAACAATCAGAGCACGAGGGTCCAAATGATAGGAAGCAAACAGAGAGAGGGGAGGAATGTAAGATTTTAGAGGCGGATGGGGTGAGACAGGAGGGCAGTGGAAGCACTGGAAATAGAAACAAGACATGGATCTGAAACTCCTTCAGCAGTGAGGAAAGAGAGATGAGAAGAGGGAGCGAGGGAGACAGAGAGTTAAAGACTGGAAATATTCCGACAAAGTTGCAGCTTGGCCCGACATATTCCAGCGCAGTCCAACCCAAAATACCACACACACACATACACACACACACAGCCACCTACACTTTGCCCTTGATGCCCTCTCTTTCTCTGTGTGTGTGGCTATCGCCCTGGTGCCAGTAAGGCAGCAGCCTGGCTTGGCTCTCACAGTGACCGTTCCCCCGTAAGGCCAGCTCCACGGGCCCTTTTCCTCAGAACTGTGCCGCGCGCTGAGCAGAAACAGATGTGTGCTCCGTCCCCTCTGTTCCTCCATCTTGGCTCTGCATCATCACCACCGCAGATCCTGTCTCACACTCAGAAAAACTGGAATTTCAGCAGAAACAGATGGAGCGGCTCCTTCAGCCCCTCTTCTTTGCTGCTACGTCATTGCTGAGGGCTGAGAAGTCCGCCGAAACCAGATGTGTACTGCGTGCACCGTGTCGGTTCCGTTAATGTGATGTGAGAAAAATTAGGGTGATCATGAATAATAAAGCAGTCTAGAACCCTATGGTGTTGCATCTGTGGAACCACACGAGTTTAATAAATAAAAGGAGTTTCTCTTTTCCAAATTAAAGAACAACTGCCTTTTTTTTTCCTACTCCGAAATTTCCCGTACATTTTTAATGAAAGTCACCATAAAATGAAAGTCTAAGTCAAATTTATTTATACAGGACATTTAAAACAGCTGTTGACCAAAGTGTCCTGTGTTTAAAATAATCAAATGAGATAAAACAAAGCCAACTTCAAATGAAAAACTTCATTATGCATGATTATTATGTTTACATTTCCTATTCCACTTACATTTTGAGTTTGAATAAAATCAAAATAACCATCATAAATCATAAGTAGTCGCAAAACCAAGAGTCGTGGTTCTGGTAATCTGAGCGTCAGATGCACCAAAGAGCTCTCACATTGTCTGATAGATTGTTAAAGGAAACATATTGTGTAAATTATTCATCGCTTTAAATTATTTCCTACCCTGCTTAGCTTAAAGCATGTCTAAGTTTAGCTGTGGCCAAATTGCAATTACAGGGTGACTGTAAATGCAAAAGCATATGGTGTACCGGTAGCGCATGTAGTGGAGGGGAGTCGGTAAAGTTTAGGAAATGAGCCAGTGGTATATGCTACATGTCAAAATGAATGTATTGTCTCCTGCTAATATTGACTAATATAATAAAGAGGTCATTTCAGACCAAGTTTAACTATGGAAACAAGAAGTCTATGTTCATAAATTATAGTTGTTTTTTTTATTGTTTCTCATAAACTGAGCAGAGGTTCCTCCAGCTGACATGAACTTTTCTTTTCTTTTCACAAATTGGAGTTTGATTTCATAATCTTAAAAAGCGCAAATAGAGCAACATCCATAGAATGTACCATGACTTTAAGACCCAATCACATAAAATTAATCCAGGTAATTTACTCTCACAAATGTATTTTACTCTAATCCAGATTGTTTCACCTAGAAATGTTATTGTGTATTTCAAATTATCCTGAAAAAAAAAAAAAAAGAGAAAAATCTAAATTTTTTTTGTTGAACCACATAAATTTATGTAGCTCTTGCTAATTCCAGTTTCTCCCAGGCACATGTTAAAGTGTTCCTGGGAAAGACGTTTAACCCCAAAGAACTTTAGAAGTAGTTTTAAGCAAAACCACATAGCTTGCCAAATTAGAGTCATGACTCAGCAGTTATTTAGCGTCTTTACAAGCACTAAAAACAAGTGAGAGCGCTCTCTATCGCCAGACTGTTTCAATGTGTTGCTATGATGATAATCTCAGTGCCTCTCACCCACCTACCCTCCCCAAACAAAACTCCAGCCCTTTCTCATCAACCCAAATACGGCCATGTTTGGAGGGTGAAATGGTAAGATGGAGAGCAATGAAGTGGAAGGAGAGAATCTTTAGAGCCTGGAAAGTTGACAGCTGGGAGAATTGTCAGATGAGATTAAAAAAAATGGAAAAGAGGAAAAATAAAAGACAGGAATGTAGGGATGTGAGCCTAAATGGGGCATCTAGAGAAAACGGAAAAGAGGAGGTGGATTTACCAGCAGAGGAATGCTTCTCCCGCTGATATCGTCTAACAGGGATTAGGAGGGGAGGTTGTTCTCGCCAATCACAATAAGTACAACAGACATTTCCTCACCCAGTTGACTGAACCATGACATACCAGCACTAAGGCCGTGGCACTTCCAAACTGCAGATATTGGCTTTTGTTGTTTCTTTCTGTTTAGACAGATTGAACTTTGTTTGACTCAGAAATATAACCAGGGTTTTGTTAACGCGTCTAATTTTACAGTCCAGTGTGATGTAAAGCAGCTTAATTGATCAGATTTTCTCATGGTGAGTTTACGTACCTCATGCTAGTAAAGCACGATGAAGGTCTCATGCTGTGGGATGGATTGTTTGACGTTATCTGCCATTTATGTATAAAAGAAATCAAATGTTATATTTTCCACTTCTGACAATCTCAGCATTTTTATGGGATCTACGACAGATTAATGTGAATAGTCATTAAAAACATATATGACAGGGTTAGAAATATAGACAAACAAAAACGGAGAGTGGATCAACATATAAAATCAGTTAGAATCACCACTTGCTTAATATTTCTTTAGCTTGCAAAGACTTTTAAATCACAAGTTCAAACAGGGTTTTCTGTGAATAGAACACGCACTGCAGATTTATTCTTGGAATAAATCTTTAAAAAATTTGCAATCCGATTTATTAAAAAAAAAACCACACATATCAGAACAACTGTTATGTGGGGGAAAAAGCTAAAATATTCCAGTTTTTCCTCACTGTGATTTTGATAGAACAGTAAATCCAA